AACAATATTTGAGAGAAATAGGTCTTTTGTGTACATAGAGAAAGTCTTAGATCTTTGAGTTCAGCTCATGATGAATGGGGGCAAAAACAAAAGTGTTGCGTTTATAATTTTGTTCAGTGTATATAGGTATAATGTCCAATTGGCCATGACCAATTAGGTGCCATTAGGTCAATAGGTGGTGCAGTAGCAGCATCACCTAACTATAAAGGAAGGAATCTCTGAAATTAAATCACATTAGTAAGAAAACCAAAAAAAGTACTGGAATCTGATTAGCTAGACAAGCCTACATACTTGTTCACCATTAATACACTATTATTCAGCTATTATTTAGCTATTATTTAATTAATTATTTATTTGGCTTATTTGAACTCTAAAGCAGTATGGCGTTGTGTTGCATGAACAGTGGTAAATCTATTTGATTATATCAGTAGTTCTCAACCTTTTCTGGTGTGCCCCTCTTGAGAAGCCGAAAAACAATCATGCCCCATCACCCCACAACTTTTTATTAGGCCTTACCAATGATAGGGTAAGATTTTAGTGAAATAAAGGTCAACACAGCATCATCAAACTCTGTGTTGTTTGTTTTCCCTACATTAATCTCATTACTTCAACTTTTTTAATCCATATTTTCCCTTGGTCATCCATGGCCTCCTGCAGAGGCTCTGTGCCCCACAGTTTGAGGACTGCTTTATATGTATATACATTTATACATTTTTGTGTATTTGTGTTGTGTTCACTTTTTGTTCAGTGTGAGGGTCTCACTGACCACGCTGTTTAATATCGTCACTCTTTTTCTCTCAGCGTAGCACGGATGGCTTCTGGAAGTCGGTGGCCAGGAACGTTCCAAGGGAGCCCAGTGACATGCGCATCCTGAACCCCTACTTCATTCAGACGGCCTCTTTCAAGCTGATCGGCTTACCTCACAACAACGGACAGATGGGCAGAGGGGTGAGGACCTGTTGTTTTCCTGTCAGTTTGTTCTCAGTTTGAGGTAGAGAAGTAGCAGGAACAGTGAGCTGGCTCACACACAGTGGTGAGTTAATGGTCAGGAGCTCTGGTAGCGGACTCCACTGTGTGCCTGTTTGCATTATGAAGGCCTCTGTGGACACACAGCAGATGCCACAGAGAGCAGAGTCTGAAAACAGTCTGAAAACAAACAGCGTTACCATTAGGCTATTATTAATAGAACCATGCTTCAGATTTCACATCTGTAAGATATCCACACAGTACCCATACAGTGTGAATCTGGATCCTCTACTGTACATTCACATGCACACACTGTACATGCTCTGGGGTACGGGTCATGGCTCGGTTACCTGTTTCACACAAACTTTTTATTTGTGTCCGTTTACAGAATATCCCAACACTGGGGGCAGTTGCCATAACGATGGCCCTTTATAACTGTGATGAAGTAGCTGTGGCTGGATTTGGCTACAACATGAGCACCCCCCGTGCCCCTCTGCACTACTATGAGAAGATCAGGATGTCAGCCATGAAAGAGGTAAGATTTTGTAAGATGCCCCAATAGACCGAATCACCGTGATAAGAATTGCTAACAAAAACAGTCACTCCAAGGTAGACAACTGGCAGGGTTGGGAGGGGTACTTTAAAAATGTAAAAGCTTGACTCTGTGGCTGGCTTTCAGTCTATGCTGCAAAATAGTAATAACAAGAAGCTTTCTTTGGTTTGTGTCTGAGACAGAGAGACAGTGGTGGTTGAGACAGAGGAGAGAGGATAGGAGAGGGAGTGCCAGCAAAACATTATTTTCTGTGCACAAATAAGCACCGCCGCAACTTCTGATTTGGTCTGAATGGTCTCATGCTGTCAGGCTACGTAAGGATTTTCTACCCGGAAGTTATTGATAGCAAACAATGTGATTGGTTCTACAGGTCCTAAAACTGAGACATTGCAGGGCTTTCTGAAGTTCCAGTTTCAGTAGTGTAATTCCATTGGTTCATTATCTGTGTAAATGGGCACTAAGAACAGTTTATCTAAATTCAGTTCCAAACAGAGGGCCAACATGTTACATGTTGCCTTACCACATCTGTGACCTCAGCTCTGTATGGCGTAACCGCAGTCAGTAATGTGCATTTTTAAAGCTCGTCTCCTTTTGATCTCTTGTGACACATTCATTATGCACAACAGCTGCAGTGTCATTATGTTGTATGTTTCCTTACATACAAAGTAAGGAGAATTCAAATTTCATTTTGACTTACGTGTTGATTGGCTGTTTGGCTTTTTTGGCTAAACTTCTGAGTCAGTCTGACCTTACTAACATTGCATGGTAAATTTACAGTTCACATTAATGATTCATCTCCTCCATTCACAGGTGTGTCACCCACTATTCCCTGCCCCTTTTACTCTTAATGGACGAGACTCCCACACAATATTCACAACCTCCAAATTTGTTAGCATTCTGACCAACCTGTCGACCAACATCCTTCTTGTTAGTTTTCCAGGTTTACGCTGTACTGGAACAGTTTACTGTGACCTTTCCCTCATTTAAAATGCCTCTTGGGAACCTATGAGGAATTTACCCAGCATGCTGAGTACTGGCCCTGGATGTGTATGAAATCTCAAGTGTAGGAACGTTGCTGGGTGCTGGTTTTGAGAGCAGCGCAGTCATAGCACACTACATACAATGTCTAAGTTGCCAATTACTCCACTTCACAGTCCCCAGCCTGATAAATCACTCTTAGCTCAGGTTATTGAGACAGACATGCAATCCCCTTCATCCTATTTTCCCCAACTGCACAACAGACTTGTGTTTCAGAGGCACAGAGCTGTTGGCCCCGCCCGCTGCCATGTGTAACTGAGACAGGCGAGAAATTTGTTTCTACAGTTCTCCATTAGTTCACTGGACAGCCACAATTTGAATTATAACTTAAGTGACTGACACTTAATTTGCTGCAAGAGGTGGAAGTTTTACTTAGTGGCCATTTATGATTGTTAATGTGTCAGACCTTTTAATCTCATGAGTAATATAATATCTTAATAAATGTTACATTTGTCAAAAAGGGGTATAATACATTTGCAACTGTTGTGCAAAAAGAGAAAAAAACATCAGGATTCATGGCGATAGTCCAACATTTTGGGAAACTTCAGTATTTGCTTCCTTGCCAAAAGTTACAATAGATGAGAAGATCAATATCACTCTCATGTCTGTGCACCAAGTGTGGAGTTAGAGCCACAAGGTGATTCGCTTATCTTAGCTTAGCAGAAAGACGAGAGGGAAGAGAAACATCCCGTCCCAAAGCATTCCATCCCTGTTGTCCAGACAAGAGGAAAAGATGCTGTCTTTCTTTCTCTCTTTATTCTACTGCAATCCTTTGTTTCTCTACCACACTTACAGTTTTTCTCTCTTTCTGTTTCTCTCTCTCCTACCTTCTCCACTTAGTTTCAAACAAGAACCAGCTGTTGAGTAGAGAAGATGGTTATCCTCTTGGAAACGCAACACTGTCAGTCAGGGAATATTTAAAGGGGAAATCCACACAAAAATCACACTATTTGGTAAACCAAATTTTGGCATGTGCACCTTGGTATCTCAGATTTACATCAAAATGTTTGTATACAGCAAAACCCTTTGATGGTGTTATTATGGGGTGCAACTAACTATTATCTTCATTTGTCTTGTTTACTTGACACCGTCTAGAACCCAGAACCATTAATAATCCAGACTAGTGCTACCCATGACCAGATTTTCCTAGTTCAAGCCATTATTCAACTTGTTTATAATATTATTTATTATTATGTATATTTTATTATTGACATACATTTTTGGTGCATCAGAAAATTGGACCATGGATTCAAATCCGACCTATAGCCCTTTGCTGCATGGCATCCCCTGCTGATGGTCTGCACTTTTTCCTATCACTCTCTCAAGCTGTCCTGTCTAATAAAGAGAAAAAAAGCGCCCAAAAATATGTACAACTATGAAAAAGAAAAAATGTTATAAGTAACATTGTTAACAATGATAAATTACAGAGAAATACAAAACTGTAATAATGAGACAGAAAAAAAGAATGCCTTTGCCATTGCCAATGAGATGAGTTTTGGCAGCCAAGCATATGATTGCAAGTGACATTGATTGGCCAATATCAATACCCGTTCCATGAAATTAAACCCGAACAAGTGCACTTCATCAATAGTTTTGTTTTAAAGGTGGAAGTTACTTCGATAAAAAATGTAAATATAACAATATATTGCTGGACTCTGTCAAGTCCGAGTGCAAATACCAACGAGTCCAAGAAAACAAAAAACGTCTAGTACTTGAGTACAACAGCACTGGAAAACATACCTATAAATATTAAATTCTGTTTTTGCCAATTGATCCTCCTAAATGTTACACACTGGACATTTTAATATACATTTTTGAACTATTGTTGAAAATGTATTGGGGTTTTTTTATGAAATGTTGATCTAAAGGGGAAGAATCTACACCAAACCTCCTGCACCTACCTCCTGACCTGTGTGTCTCTGTCCCCTCTGCAGTCCTGGACTCACAACATATCTAAAGAGAAGGAGTTCCTGGTGAAGCTGGTGAAGGCTGGAGTTATCCAGGACTGGACCAATGGGATCTGTGGTGCAGGATGCTGATGGTCTGTACTCAGTTTCATGGATCCTGAATGAAGCACTGTGCTCACCAGGGAAACTCAAGGCACTGTAGGCCATGTTCCCAGCAGAGAGAAGCAGCTTTCACACACAGTGGTCAGTACAGAGACTGAGTATATGAGGCTTATTGACCCGGGCACATGGCCCCAGTGTTGCATACTGACATATTGCAAGCAGTTGGCCTCTGGTTTGTATCGCAGTATTTAGTTCATCCTAGTTGCAGGTTAGTGTATATTTACATTGATTTGGTATCCTGGCTCACGGGTACGTCAGCAGTGTTGGTGATCAAACCAGCACCTACACGAGGCCGCACTCCAACTAGAACTGCTGCAAGCTGGAGACAGGAGAAGAGGATGAAGTGGTTGGGTTTAAATATTGAGCCTGTGCCAAGAATACCTCTGCAAGTGTCCTTCTGCTCACACATCTGAATGTAATCTACATCAAACCTATAGTCACTTATTGATATCTTCCAGCTTCTGTGTTAAACAGGGTGCACACCACATGACACATTACTCAGCCGTCCTGGATCAGTCTCTGGCATCTGAGAGTAAACCCTCATATCAGAGCAACCTGGCAATAATCACAGCTAGTTTAGTTTGAGTCAGTATGAATGAACGCAAATAAGAGATTTCCTTCAGCAGCAGCATGACCGTGATGCAGGGTAGTAACATTATGTTTGTCCTTGTGCTGCAGTCTTACCTCCAATGTCTGCTGGATGTGGCCAAGTCACATTTCGCTTCTAGTCAGCCGGACCACCACTGAAGAGTGAAATTCACTTGTGAATGTATGTAAATGTCTATATTTATTGACAACTAACTAATACTTAATGAAGCATTTCATTTGTTACTGACTCTGTGTTATGTACAAACACTAAACCTATTTTAGTTTGTTTCTGTCACTTGTTGTTTGAAGCCTTTGAAGCAGCAGAAGGAATATAGGTTTTCCTCTGCTAAGATGAAATAAGACAGCGTGCTGTATTACAGCCAAAAAGCAGAGGTTGCGTTAAACTGTCTGGTTGTCCTTCATTCTGACAGACATAATCATCTTTTTTAATTAGCCTTTATTTTTATTTTTATTTTTTATGATAGTGAGACATATAGCCTATTTAATAGTATTTAAGTTTAGAGAACAACTTGATCTCAATCACATTTAATATACAGAACTTTGAATGATTCATTTAAAAGGGCATAGAGAGAAAAGAACAACAGACACTGCCTGTGCATTCACTTTCATGAATAATTTTTTACCTCCTTGCTGCCACTTGCTTCCTCTGTATCATTAGATGCTGGTGGATGATAACTGTTTTATCACCTCATTTATCAACCACATAATGATTATTGGGCTTTCTAAAGAAACTTGTGACAGTCAGCTGTCGTCACATTTTGTGTAGTAATACAGCCTCCCAATGTGATGGCTAAAGCTAGCTACACAACAGGGTCATGCATGTGAGATCAAAGACAAGGCTACTGGACAATAGCTTGTTAATCTGTCTGAATGACGGCCTTCAGAGTTTTCTGTCATTGTTAAAAAATTTACCGTATGTGTTACTAATCATAAATGAGCATGTTTTTAAACCTTCTGTGAAACTATAGATGTTTTTCTTCCCAGTACCAACTCTGATACTTGAACTTTGTGTATCGGCCGATACCAAATACCAATCCAATTTGTAGCAGGGTCCCGTTTCAGGGCTAATAAATTATGTGGTGCACAGACATGTGTACTAACCAATATCCAGTACCACATTTTAAGAGGTATTGGAGGAATTTTCAATACTGGTTTCTGTATCAGAACAATTTAAAACATAAAGAATGTGGCGTAGCTGCATCCAGTGGGCATGAGGGGTCACAAGTCTTAAAATTAATGTGAGACCTGCTTCTTGGGCCATGCTGTTGAGTGTCGCTGTTGAATGTCACTGTTGTGTAGGCCACACAAGTTAGTACAAGAAACAAACATGTTTTAATAAAGGGTCTGGGTTCAGCAGCGGCTCTATATCTGAATTTCTGTCATTTCATTTTCCTTTAGGATTATGTTATTATAGTAATGTTGAGTAATGGCAAGCATATATACAACAGTCCAACACCTGTAAACCACAACTGTACCTATCTTTCTGTCTGAGATATGGAATGAATTGCTTGCATGACTGATATCTGATTCCTACCACACTGCAGTGTATTCAAGAACACCAGGGCCCTGTATTTCGTACATACATCACACGTGGTTAGCTTGATTTCGTCGAGGCAGAGGACCACCCACCTAGAGCCGAAGGGTCTCTCCTAGGTTTCTGCCTTTTAACAGGCAGTTTTTCCTTGCCCCCGTTGCCAAGGTCTTGCTCATGGTGGTACTGTTGGGTCTCTGTAAATATTAAAAGGAGTTCGTTTTAGACCTGCTCTATTTGGAAAGTGAAAACTGAATGCTATATCACAAATAGAAGAAAACGAATCACACTCTGAACACTTGATCCTGGAGGAGCGAGAAGAAAGGGAGCGTGTCTCATCATCTCAGGATCCAACAGCCGGCCACCCACACCGGCACCGACTAGCCGTACATGGGATATTCTTGTATACGACTACCAACCTGAGATTACAGTAACCTAATAATACCAAACAAGTCAGCACTAGCAAGATTCTAGAGGTTAGACATCCATCTTATACCCGAAAGTAGTGATATGCAATACATCTAGCAGGAGAGCCCACACAAGGATTTGTGCGCGTAGTCCCTTTCCTTTGGATGGTTTGATCCCATCTCTGACACCATATACCATTCCATAGCGTTAAACATAAACCTTTACCGCATTTAATCCTGAATATGCCCGCTTCAACCCATCCCACTTATAACATACAAGATACTCTCATCCTTTATACACTCCTTAATGACGAGTAACTGTAAATTTCGAAGCTTATAGTATGTAAGAGTCCCTACCTACATTATCACCACTTATGCACCACATTTCACTGCGAGGGAAAAGACAGACTATAAATGCTCTACTACATCAAAACAA